CCGATTAATTGTGTCTGTGTGTTTTTTCCCCTCCTGAGCATTGCCCAATGGCCCCAGCCAGGCACCCTAAGGTTCGGGGGTTGCTAACGGTGCCCCTGGGCCAAGGTGCCCCCAGCTCTTCGTACAATCTTGGAGCCCCTGGGGCCCTCGGGGCCTCGCGAGGGGTGCTCTGGAGGCCGTTGGGGGCCTCCTTGCAGATCCTGGGGGCACCTTGGGCCAGGGGCACTTCTGGCAGCACCCGAAAGGTGAAGACTGGATCGAGGAGAGGGAGGCCTCAGCCGAGGGCTTGAGATGCGGCCGGCACAAAGGGGCGAGAGCACACGGATCGTGGCCGTCCAGACCAATGCTGCGGCTGGCATTAATGAAGGGGCCCTGGGACACACACATAAATACACACAAATAAACAGATTCCCCATGTTTTCCCATATGTTTTGGGTTTTTGTTTACCCCCCCACTTCCCATATTTTCCTATATTTTCTGGGGGATCGACGATTAATTGTGCCTGTGTGTTTCCTCCTCCTGAATTAAGGCGAGAGCACGGTCCCGGAACAAGGTGTGTGCGTGTGGACGCCTCGGGCGAGACGACTGCCGGACCAGGCGGTGCAGGGCTCTCCGTCGGCTCCGTGGAGCACTTCTGTGGTCCGTGAGTGCCTCGAGTGGGACCCTCAAGCGAGACGCCATCCGGGAAGACCAGATCATATCATTCCCACTCGGCATGCCCACGGGCGCAACACACATGTCTCGCTGTGCCACTCGCATACATGTGGGAGGCGCTTCCTACCAAGCGCACGCTCGCATGATGCACTCGTCAAAGGAAAGCACTCAGAAACTAATCATTATCCTCCGCATCCGCGACCGAAGTCGCCACAGAAGGCTGATCCTTCTTCTCCTGCTCCTTCTATTGGTCACCATCATCATCATCATCATCATCATCATCATCATCATCATCATCATCATCATCATCATTATCAGCATCATCATCATGGTCATCATCAGCATCATCAGCATCATCAGCATCATCAGCAGCAGCATCATCATCATCATCATCATCATCATTATCATCATCATCATAATCATCATCATAATCAGCATTACCATCATCATGCCAGCATCGTCATCATCATCCTGGGCATCATCCCCATCGTCGCCATCAGCATCAACATCGTCAGCATTATAATCATCATAATCAGCATCATCATCATCGTCATCATCATCAGCATCATCGTAATCCTCCTCTTCCTCCTCCTCCTCATCATCAGCAGTAGTGAACATTAAGTAGTATCACCACATTTCGCAAACTAACCAGCCGCAGAAGGCTGTCCCTCCTCCTGCAGCTTGGCCTGCTCATCCTAATGCTCATGTGTTTATCCCACCCTTCCTTTTCTAGAAAAAGGAAGCATCCAAACTCTTAAATCCCCTGGAAAGTGGATCGCCCTATCTGGCAGAAATAATGTAGTTGAATGACTCTACTGAGGAGGTCGAAGCAGCCCACCTTGTCCTGCTCACCGTGTCCACCACTTCTGATCATCCTCCCAGGCAGTGAAGAGAACCGCCCTAAACACCCCCAAAACGTAGAGAAACCTCCCCGAGCCTCGATCATCGGGAGGCGTTGGCAAACCCCTCTGCGACCCCACTTTGCACAGGTCGCTTTTCTTTCTTTTTTTTTACTGGGAGAGAACGATGACTCCAGCCAAGCCAGTTGCGACACAGCCGGCGTTAAACTGTTAAAGCAGTTTGCGCCCAAACTGGCGTTGAAGCTGTTAAAGCAGCTTGCGCCCGCTTCTACCTCAACATACTGGTGCTATGTATCCCCCGAAAGCCTGGTCCAGAAGGCCTGAGTCCAAAACTGTTGGCATCCCTTTGATCCCTCTGGGGCGCATGCTTTGCCTCCGCCGGCGGAGCCGCCCCCGCTTCGCTGCTCGCCAGCCTCCGCGGACCGTCCGCCGCCTCACGCCGAGGACGGCGAGGCCGCTTCTGCTACGGCAGGTTCGTGTCGTGACGACCCTGGCGTCGGTTTCTGACACCGCGCGGATCGTTCAACCTTGAACGATCGGCGGTTTTTCGATCGCCCGATCGTTCCATGCAGGCCGATTCTGGGCCACTGGCGGCGTTCAACCTTGAACGCCCGCGGCGGGGTCGCCGCTGGTCGGCACGACGCGAAGCTACCGTACGCCCCTCCTGGTGACCCTCCTCCTCCTCCTTCCGTGCCTCTTGGCAATGCCTGGTGACCCTCCCTCCCCTTCCCTGCAGAGAGAGAAACTCCTTGGCAATGCCTGGTGACCCTCCCTCCCCTTTCCTGCAGAGAGAGAGAGAGAGAAACAAAAAAAAAGCTTCCCCCTGTCGCACCCCCAGACGTGTCGGGAGGCTGGGCTGGGCGTTTCACTTGAGCCGCCCCGACAGCTTACGATCCTGCAGGCACAGAAAGTCCAACAGATAAAAGGAAGGAGCGGCGGCCGTTTACAAAATGCGACAATCGCCGTGGCGCCCCACACCTTCGTGTCTGTAGAGCATCCAGCGGCTAGAAGGATGGATGGCTGGTCGTTTTCACAATGCAGCTCTCACCCCGGCGCCGCGCACACTCATGCCTACAAACTTCCGGCAGCGGCTCTGGTCTGAGATTGTTCCACAAACTGCACGGCCTGCAGTTCCCAAATGATGGCTTGAAAATGCGGCTCTGGCTACAGACGCCGCCGAACTCGGCTTGAAAATGAGGCTGACTCGGCTTGAACATGCGGCTCTGGCCACAGCCGCCGTCGAACTTGTCGCACTAAAGTCTCACGTGCGCAACACGTGCACGGGTGAAGTGCGGCGCCTCGTCAGAATGGGGCCCTCGCGCTTGAGACTCCAGCGAGTTCGGCGACCAGCACGCTAAACGTGTACGTCCCGGGCACGGACGGAGGACGAATCCTCTTCAAGCAGGGCTAGTGCTAGATACTCCCCTGCACTGATCTGCCAATCTCTGTGCGCTAGAAGAATGGTGGGCTGATGCTTCACAAGGCGTGCACCCGTCGGTCGGGAGAGGCAGGTAGAAACGTGAAGTAGGAAGGCGTCGAAAGCAGAGTGGGTTCCGTCCGCCCCCTTGGGAGGCCAGAAAAGAGGGAGCCACTCGATCATTGACATAGAAAGGCGCTATCCCAAAAATAACTTTCGGTCGGGCACGTCCCCCTTCAGGCGGCTCTTGGAGGAACAATAAAAAACACACGCTCCGAAAAACAGTCAACCACGGACACAAATCCCATACAGGCGGCGCTTGGAGAACAATAAAAAACACGCTCCGAAAAAACAGTCAACCACGGACACAAATGGTCAACACATCGTCCGCAGACTGCTTCTAAAAACTATGTTTGAACAGGGCTGAACCTGAACGGTTTTTTGTTCGTTTTCGTTGTGTGGCCGTGTTCCCTCGCGTTTTGTCTCGAATCCGCCCTGACCGTGAAACGAAGTCGACACGAAGACGGCCCACGGAATCGCCAAAAACACCGCTTAGGTCCAGCCCTGTGCTCGAAGACTCTCGACTACACGCAGGAGTGACCCTGGGCAAGAGTAGCCTTTGGTGCGCGGCTCATTGGGGGCCGCTGGGGGGCCAAACACGAGCGCGCAAGACGCTAATACAGCATCGCGCTCGGCGATCGGGGGGCCCCCTTGGGCCCGCACCAGAGGTCACCCCGGCGAAAGGTCACTCTCACGTGTGTCCGAACACTCCTCCTGTGGAGGGCCCTGCCCGACCCTGAAAACGGCCTGCCCTCGACGACCGACGCGTATCCCCCGCCTGCGCGGCGGGCCCACGGGCGGGCGCCCTTGCCGCTCGACCGGGGGGGGGCCCCTCGGGCAGCGGAAGCGACACAGCCCCTGCGGGGACTCGCGGGCCGGCTTCGGGGGGGCATCGCAGGCCTCTGGAGGAGGAGGAGGAGGAGGAGGAGGAGGAGGAGGAGGAGGAGGAGGAGGAGGAGGAGGAGGAGAGGAGGAGGAGGCCTCTGGAGGAGGAGGAGAGAGGAGGAGGAGGAGGGGAGGAGGAGGAGGAGGAGGACTTTTGAACGTCTGAGCCAGCACAGGTGGTCGTGCAGAAAGGGGACGGAGGCCGTGGCAGCTTCGGGGGGGCATCGCAGGCCTCTGGAGGAGGAGAGGTCAGGAAGGCAAGAACGCACCCAGGGTGCATCCACGACGCATCCTGGGTGTTACTGCCATGGCATACGACGATGCATCAGATCAACGATGGCTTACGGCAGGGTGTAGTGCAGAATGCATCAACGATGCGTCCAAGGGTGTGACCCAGGATGCGTCGTGGATGCATTATGAGTGCGTTCTTGCCTTCCTCCCTTTCCTCCTCCAAAGGCCTGTGATGCCCCCCCGAAGCTGCCACGGCCTCCGTGCCCTTTCTGCACGACCACCTGTGCTGGCTCAGACATTCAAAAGTCCTCCTCCTCCTCCTCCCTTCCTCCTCCTCCTCCTCCTCCTCCCTTCCTCCTCCTACAGGTCGGGGGGGAGGTTTTCGAATGATCCTCTGCGTCCACGGGCTGGCGCTGGCATTGCTGCCTTGGCCCCGTCTGCCTGTGCATGGTCGGTTGTGTGGTCCCTCGGGGCTCCTCTCGAGGGGCGCAGGCAGCCTGTGTCTCGTGCGGGGATTACCGTCCTGGCTCTCGCGATCGAGAGCATTCCTGGCCCTCCGAGATTCGTCACCGACTACCTCCCGATCGTTGAGCCGTGGACCAAAGGCGTGAAAGTCGTTTTTTCCCGAATCAGTGCTTGCACTGAAGGGGTCCTAGCGGATATTGAAAGATTTGGCGAAAGTTGCTCGCCGATTTCGGTGGGCGGCCAGGTATCCGGGTTCCCGGTTCGGGAGTTCTGGGTTCGCATTTGCTGGTTCTGGGCCGATTTCGGTTGGCGGCAGGGTTCCCGAGTTGCCGGGTTACCAAGTTCCTGGTCGATATCCTTATCGATCGGTCTCACCATCGATCGCAATACCCACCTCTCAATCGATCTCACGATCGATCTCGCTCTACCGATCTCGCTCTATCGATCTCACTACCGACCTGACAATCGATCCCAATATCCAAAGATCAAGATTTCAAACGATCCACTAATTAGGGTTTTCTGTGGTGTAATCGAAAATTTTGGCGAAAATGACCAGACGACTTCGGTGGGCGGCCATGTTCCCGGGTTGTCGGTTCCGGGTTCCCCAATTCCGCGGTTGCTGGTTCCGGGCCGTTTTCGGTGGGCGGCGGGGTTCCCGGGGTTCCAGTTTCTGGTTCCCGGGCGGCTCCCAATCGATCTCACTATAGATGTCACTATCGATCTTACCATCCGTCTCAATCGATCTTACTATCGATCTCACTGCCAATCTCACTCTCGATCTCAGACTATCGATCTCGCTGTCGATCACACTGTATCGCTATCGATCTGACCATGGATCTCACCACGATCAATCCCACGAACGATCTCACGATCAAAGTCACGATCGCTCTCACTATCGGTCTAACTATCGATGTAATCATCGATCTTGCGATACGTGTCACTCAGTCGATCACACTACCGGTCTCACTATTGTTCTCCCTATCGATCTCACTGTCGATCTCACTATCGATCTCACCATCGATCTCCCCCCAGTCGATCAAACTATCGATCTCACTATCGAGAACACGATCGATCTCACGATCGATGTCACTATCGATCCTACTCAATCAAAGCGACTACCATGCTCACAATCGGTTTCACAATCGATCTTACGATCGATCTCACTATCCATCTCACGATCGATCTCAATCAACCAACTTAACCAGCAATATCAGTATCGAGTTCAATATCGATCTCACGATAGATCTCAACATCGATCTCACTCAATGGGTCTCACGGTGGATCTCACGATCGATCTCATTATCGCTCGCATAACATAGCATAGCATGTATCATAGCACGGTACACCCCGCGCCGCGAACACCACGGGACACCACGGGACACCACGGGACACCATCGGAACACCATCGGGACACCATCGGGACACCGTCGGGGCACCATCGGGACACCATCGGGACACCACAAGGCCACTGCTGGCCAACCCGGGGGATAACAACGTTGGGTTCGGCTGCGCCCTGGCAGCGGCGGGTTCACCCCTCTCGCACGCCCACGCAGCTTCGCGTCGCCCGCACGCACGACACGAACGTGAATCCAAAACCGATTTCCCGGCAAGGGGGGGTCTCCATGTCACTGCGATCTCGCCCCCCCCAGCCTCCGACATATAGAGAGAGGGAGAGAGAGAAAGAGAGACAGAGAGAGAGAGAGAGAACCAAACAACTATGATAAAGGGTGAGAGAGGCGGAGTAGAAAGAGAGAGAGAGAGAGCAAGATAACTACACACATACACACACACATAACACATAACATATACAATGCGTGTACTTATGTATGCATATATGTATACATACGCATTGTCACAGGCAGATATAGGGAGTGACGCATGCATAGAGGGAGAGAGAGAGAGGGAGAGGGAGAGAGAGAAAGACAGACAGACAGAGAGAGAGAGAGAGAGAAAAAGAACGGGAAAGAGAGAGGTATGTACAATAACTAGACTGGACTAACACGTAGATTCGAATGAGACTAGGGCGGGAGGGAGGCCGATTGAGACACCTGCGAAAAATTCAAAATCCACTGAATTGGGGTTTTTCTTGTGAAAATATTCCCTGGAGGCAGGTGTGAGGGCTGACCTTTGGTCCTGAATCGGCAAGGCCATGTCGTCCAGAGAGGCGGCGGACCCTGTGGGTCCCCTCCCACCAAGGAGGGGGCGCTCCACGACAATTGGTTCTCGAATGTGGCCTTCGGTAACGAGTGCGCAGATTTCCTGGCCTCAGCCATGGCCGAGAACGCCTGGAGCAGTTCTGTTGTGACGGACCCTACTACAGTCGGGGCCTTGACCTCAGGAACCCTGACTAAGGAACGAGGCCCCCTTTTCCCATACAGTAGACCTCGATTTCCCGTGGAAGACCTCCAGAAAACCCGAGGCAAACTCTGGAACAATCAAGGAACGCCGAGCCCCTCCCCAACGAAAAGGGTTCCTTCTTCCGCGCCCCGACAGTACAGGCGGGAGGGAGCTCGAGAGCTCTCCCTGGTCCGAAGGCGTGCGAGGAGAGCTCTCGGAGAAGCGACCCCGGCCGGCCACTGCACCCCCTGGAACCCGGAGGGCTCCTGGAAATAGAGCCCCAGGCTTCTCTCCCTGAGTTGGCGAGGGCTCTGCAGCTGTCTACTCCAGATTTCGTAATATAAAGGGAGGGGGGTCTCATTTCGGGGGGGGGTCTCTTCCAGGCTATCTTGGAGGACCCGGGGGGTCTGGGGACGATGGTTTGGAGGGTTCTCCCACGGGGGAGGTCCGAAGTGGCTTGTCTTGGAGGGTCCAGACCCCCTCCCTTTTATTACGAAATCTGGAGTAAGCAAAGCTGGGATCATGCTGGCGCTGAGCATGTCTGTGGCAAGTGAAGGGTCTGTCCGAATCTGGATTCGACTCCTGAGGCGTGCGAGACGCGCTGCGGGGGAGGTGCCCCGGGGCCCGAGGTCGTCCCCCTCCGTGGGCCCCAGCAGGTTGGCGGTAAAGCGATCCACCCGTCCCACACGTTCCAATAGTGTCGCACCTGCGCCCTTCTGTTTGGTGGCACCTGCGGCAGAAGTTGCACCACCGACCCCCGCCATCTGCTCAAAGCCTGCGAACCCACGCCCAAAGGGCGTCAGAATCTTGCGAGTTGGGTACTCCAGATTTCGTAATAAAGGGAGGGGGGTCTCATTTCGGGGGGGGGTCTCTTCCAGGCTATCTTGGAGGGCCTGGGGGGTCTGGGGACGATGTTGAAATGGGGTTCTGGGGACGATCTGGAGGGCCTGGAGGGTTCTCCCACGGGGGAGGGTTGAAATGGCTTGTCTTGGAGGGTCCAGACCCCCTCCCTTCATTACGAAATCTGGAGTAAGCAAAGCTGGGGTCATGCTGGCGCTGAGCATGTCTGTGGAAAGTGCAGCTCCTTTCCGAATCTGGATTCGACTCTTGAGACGTGTGATATCTGGGGTAGATATCCTCACCCCTCGGGCCCTCCGAAGGCGGCCCGAGAGGCCGCAGGCCAACGCTTCATGAGGAAACGGGGCTGTGGGTCCCTCGCGAGAGGCCCTTTCTGGACGTCCGTGGTCCTCTGAACGCTCCTGAACGCTCCCTTCCTCCTCCCTCCTCCTCCTCCTCCCTCCTCCTCCCCTCCCCCTACCTTCCTCCTCCTCCTCCTCCTCCGCCTCCTCCTCCTCCTCCTCCTCCGCCCTCCTCCTCCTCCACCTCTCTCCTCCTCCTCCTCCTCCTCCTCCCGTCCTCCTCCTCACCTCCTCCTCCTCCTCCTCCCTCCCTCCTCCTCCTCCTCCTCCTCCTCCTCCTCCTCCTCCTCCTCCTCATCCTCCTCCTCCACTCTCCTCCTCCACTCTCACCTCTCCGCTCTCCTCCTCATCCATCCTGATCCTCCTCCTGCTGCTCCCCAACCTCCTCCCTCCACGAGCCCGTCGTGCCCTCGACCGCTGGCGGGGGGGGCCTCTGCAGAGCGCCTGCGCTTCGCAGCTGGTCCCTGTCGGGCGGGGGGGGGGGGGGGGGGCGGCGCCGAAATGCGGGGGGACGGCCTCGGAGAGAGCAGGAGCAGTCCAGGAGGAGGACGAGGACGAGGGAGAGACGGGAGGGGGCAGGGAGGAGAGGGGGGGAGGCAAGCTGCAGGGGCGGGGGAGGAGGAGAGGGGAAAGGTGGGGAGGGAAGAGGGAGGACGGAGGAGGAGGGGGGAGACGAGGAGCGAGGATGGAGGGAAACAAATGATGATGATGATGATGATGATGATGATGATGATGATGATGATGATGATGATGATGATGATGATGATGATGATGATGATGATGATGATGATGCTGATGCTGATGCTGATGCTGATGATGATGATGATGAGGAGGAGGAGGATGGTGATGATGATGCTGCTGTTGCTGATGATGGTGAGGATGGTGATGACGATGGTGATGTTGTTGATGATGATACTGAGCTTGATGGTGATGATGATGATTTTGATGATGGTGTTGAGAATGATAATGGTGTTGGTGATAAGGATGGTAATGCTGATACAGGTGATGATGATGATGATGATGATGATGCTGATGATACTGGCGATGCTACTGATGATGGTGGTAAGGATGGCACGGATGATGATGACGTTGGTGATGCTGATTATGAGGGGGATGTTGATGTTGATGCTAATGAAGATGCTGATGATGAAATGATGATGATGACGATGGTCGCGATGATGATGATGATATGATCGTGGTAATGATGATGGAGCTGATGATGCTGATGATAATGTGTATAATGATGCTGATGCTGATGTTCTTGATTATGATAATAATCATGCGGATGCTGATGCTGAAGATGATGCTGCTACTGCTGATGAGGATGATGATACTGATGATCGGCAATCGGCGGACGGCAGGTGACGGCTGCTGCGACCACGGCGACGCAATGGCGGCAATGCAGGCGACCTGAACGGATCGCTCCCCTGGGCGAGCCGACGCACAGCTCTATATGCCGCGGAGAGAGCACGCAGGCGACTGTACATGCACACGTGAGCCTTCTCGGCCGAAACGAGATGGCGGACCCTCAGAGGGCTGACGGAGGAGAAGAGGAGGTCAAAAGCGACATCAATGGAGCACGCATTCGCTTGAGAGAGGCCTTGGATACCAGTGAAAGAAGAACAGGCACATGATCCCCGATCCCCCACGCACGGGGAAGCAGACGCAGGTGAGCACAGGACGGATGACAGGGCAGCTCACGTAATGCTCAACGGCGTCACCTCCCAAATCACTCCAGTACCGAAGACGAGGGAAGAACAGAACACCACGAGGAACACGCAGGGGACAAACTACCTTAGAGTAGATGGTGGCTGGGAGCTCAGAATCACCTTTTTCAAAAACCACCACAGCGAAAGGTTAACAGCCAATCAGCTCCTGCCAATATCTCCTCATACTGACGTAGACGGGCAGCGAAAGCTCTACTTCTCAAACCAAATCGGCCCATGGCAGAACGTGCAACAGCAACAAAAGGTCGAGGCTGATGAAAGAGACGGAACACCCAAAGCAGGTACAACAAACCAGGAAAGGCGATGATGTTGATGATGATGCTGATGATGATGATGGTGATGATGATGGAAAGGAAGACGAGGAGGAGGAGGAGGAGGAGGAGAAGGAGGAGAAGAAGGAGGTAGAGGTGGAGGAGGAGGAGGATGAGGGCAAGGTGAGGATAAGGGAGAGCATCGGGGAGGAAGATCGATTGTCTGGGCGTTTTCGCCTCTTCTGGATCTGGGTCTGCGGAGGCCTCTGGAGGCGTCTGGTGACTTCCAGGGACCTCCTGGGACCTCCAGGAGAGGCGCACCCCATAGCCCCGTCGTCACGAGCAAAAAGCATCATACGGCCAGCGGCCTCTAGAGGTCAGCGTCGGGCCCTGGGGGCAATGAAGAAACGAGCCCGTGGTGAAAAGCAATCTGCCCGGCATGGGGTCGAGAACTTGGTGGCCCACGTCGAAGCAAAATTAGCCTGACGAAAGACACAACCATACGTAGTTGTGAATACCGCAATTGTGGATATATTCTTTGGTGGCGCCCCCGGGCCACGAAACGAGTGAGGGGTGTGCCGAAATGGGGGGGTGGAACCGCATGCGAGCGCAGCCACTGGGGCGCTCGGTGGAGCTCCCTATGGAGCCACGAAACGTGTGAGGGGTGTGCCAGAATGGTGGGTGGAACCGCATGCGGGCGCAGCCACTGGGGCCTTCGGTGGAGCTCCCTATGGGGCCACGAAACGTGTGAGGGGTATGCCAGAATGGGGGGTGGAACCGCATGCGGGCGCAGCCACTGGGGCCTTCGGTGGAGCTCCCTATGGGGCCACGAAACGTGTGAGGGGTGTGCCAGAATGGGGGGTGGGACCGCATGCGGGCGCAGCCACTGGGGCCTTCGGTGGAGCTCCCTATGGGGCCACGAAACGTGTGAGGGGTGTGCCAGAATGGTGGGTGGAACCGCATGCGGGCGCAGCCACTGGGGCCTTCGGTGGAGCTCCCTATGAGGCCACGAAGCGTGTGAGGGGTGTGCCAGAATGGGGGGTGGAACCGCATGCGGGCGCAGCCACTGGGGCCTTCGGTGGAGCTCCCTATGGGGCCACGAAACGTGTGAGGGGTGTGCCAGAATGGGGGGTGGAACCGCATGCGGGCGCAGCCACTGGGGCCTTCGGTGGAGCTCCCTATGGGGCCACGAAACGGGTGATGGGTGTGCCAGAATGGGGGGTGGAACCGCATGCGGGCGCAGCCACTGGGGCCTTCGGTGGAGCTCCCTATGGGGCCACGAAACTTGTGAGGGGTGTGCCAGAATGGGGTGTGGAACCGCATGCGGGCGCAGCCACTGGGGCCTTCGGTGGAGCTCCCTATGGGGCCACGAAACGTGTGAGGGGTGTGCCAGAATGGGGGGTGGAACCGCATGCGGGCGCAGCCACTGGAGCCTTCGGTGGAGCTCCCTATGGGGCCACGAAACGTGTGAGGGGTGTGCCGAAATCTGTGCGGCGGGCGCATGGGGGCGCAGCCACTGAGGCCTTCGCTGGAGCTCCCTATGGGGCCACGAAGCGTATGAGGGGTGCCCTCTGTGCCAGAATGGCTTTGGGTGGACCCGCATGCGGGCGCAAGCCACTCGGGCCTTCCCCCCCCCCCGGTGGAGCTCCCTATGAGGCCACGAAAGCGTGTGAGGGGTCTTTGTCCCAGGAATGGGGGGTGGAACCGCATGCGGGCGCAGCCACTGGGGCCTTCGGTGGAGCTCCCTATGGGGCCACGAAGCGTGTGAGGGGTGTGCCAGAATAGAGGGGTGGAACAGCATGCGGGCGCAGCCACTGGGGCCTTCGGTGGAGCTCCCTATGGGGCCACGAAACGTGTGAGGGGTTTGCCAGAATGGGGTGTGGAACCGCATGCGGGCGCAGCCACTGGGGCCTTCGGTGGAGCTCCCTATGGGGGCCACGAAACGTGTGAGGGGTGTGCCAGAATGGGGGGTAGAACCGCATGCGGGCGCAGCCACTGGGGCCTTCGGTGGAGCTCCCTATGGGGCCACGAAACGTGTGAGGGGTGTGCCAGAATGGGGGTGGAACCGCATGCGGGCGCAGCCACTGGGGCCTTCGGTGGAGCTCCCTATGGGGCCACGAAACGTGTGAGGGGTGTGCCAGAAGGGGGGGTGGAACCGCATGCGGGCGCAGCCACTGGGGCCTTCGGTGGAGCTCCCTATGGGGCCACGAAACGTGTGAGGGGTGTGCCAGGATGGGGGGTGGAACCGCATGCGGGCGCAGCCACTGGGGCCTTCGGTGGAGCTCCCTATGGGGCCACGAAACGTGTGAGGGGTGTGCCAGAATGTGGGGTGGAACCGCATGCGGGCGCAGCCACTGGGGCCTTCGGTGGAGCTCCCTATGGGGCCACGAAGCGTGTGAGGGGTGTGCCAGAATGGGGGGTGGAACCGCATGCGGGCGCAGCCACTGGGGCCTTCGGTGGAGCTCCCTATGGGGCCACGAAACGTGTGAGGGGTGTGCCGGAATGGGGGGTGGAACCGCATGCGGGCGCAACCACTGGGGCCTTCGGTGGAGCTCCCTATGGGGCCACGAAACGTGTGAGGGGTGTGCCAGAATGGGGGGGGGAAACCGCATGCGGGCGCAGCCACTGGGGCCTTCGGTGGAGCTCCCTATGGGGCCACGAAACGTGTGAGGGGTGTGCCAGAATGGGGACCCTCCCCGCATGCGGGTCGCAGCCACGGAGCCTTCGGTGGAGCTCCCTATGGGGCCACGCAACGTGTGAGGGGTGTGCTAGAATGGGGGGTGGAACCGCATGCGGGCGCAGCCGCTGGGGCCTTCGGTGGAGCACCCTATGGGGCCACGAAACGAGTGAGGGGTGTGCCAGAACTGGGGGTGGAACCGCATGCGGGCGCAGCCACTGGGGCCTTCGGTTGAGCTCCCCATGGGGCCACGAAGCGTGTGAGGAGTGTGCCAGAATGGGGGGTGGAACCGCATGCGGGCGCAGCCACTGGGGCCTTCGGTGGAGCTCCCTATGGGGCCACGAAACGGGTGAGGGGTGTGCCAGAATGGGGGGTGGAACCGCATGCGGGCGCAGCCACTGGGGCCTTCGGTGGAGCTCCCTATGGGGCCACGAAACGTGTGAGGGGTGTGCCAGAAGGGAGGGGGAGGAGGGAGGAGGAAGGAGAGGAGGAGGAAGGAGGAAGAAGGAAGGAGGAAGGAGGAAGGAGGAAGGAACGCGGGGACCGTCTCTTCAAAACGAGGACCCAACAACACAGGTTGGTTGGGAAAAACACTGAGGTCAGGGTCCCTCGAATCTTCCCTCTTCTGCCCTGGTCGAGACGATACAACCAGGGCGGACGGTGCAAGCACGACGATACTCGCGCAGATCCGTAGGGTCAAGGTCGAAACACAAACAAATCCCACACTGCTTCACGGCGGCGCCCAGACCTCATGCTTTAGCTTTTGCATCTCCCGTTATCCGAGACAGGGGGCCGGCGGCATGGGGCGA